AAATAAATAATGAGTTTCCAAGAATCTGTAGAAAACAAACCCACAAGATATACTCTCACTCTCACTCTCTCTCTGCCTGCCTGCCTGCCTGCCTGCCTGTCTGTCTGTCTGTCTCTACTGTATCTATCTATCTCTATCTCTCTAACCATACACAATGTAAAGCTTAATGTACTGAAGCCCCTTGTGGAATTGCCTTTTCTGTAGATCAGTTTGACATTGCTTTTGTCTACTTTATTCCCAGTGTGATCACCTGATCCAGCACAAAAGATGTTCGTATGTCAGTTCCCCTCAACCAAGCACCCTAAGTTTCCACATGGTTTCTTGTTTTAAAAAAAGGTTTCAGCTCAGCACTGGAATACACTATCACTAGGGCCCCTTGAGAGAATTTTTTAAAAAGTGAGAGAGGAGGGAAATTGCTGTTGTGCACTTTTTAGCTCTTTAATCTTGCCACAGCTTCGTACAAGCCAGGCTCTCTCCTGCTTCCTGCTGAACTCCTGCAGATTGTCATCCAGATTGTTATAGAAGTTTACACGGGGAAACTCAAATTGATAAACTGTGAATGCACAGCAGATCAAGCTGTATTTTCCCCTCTGTGTGCTTTGTCTTGATGGTATGTTCCTTGTGAACACATCTTTTGAGCTGTGTGGTCTCCAATATCCATTGTTGGCACTATAACCCAGCATGGCTCGTAGCCAAGTCCAACAGACTGCCAGGAGATGTTCCAAGGATTATTGGCTTCAGCTCTGCTCTCAGATACAGATAGCGGCAGACACAGGTAACATCAAGGGAATGTATGATGGTATCAAACAGGCTTTAGGTCCAATACAGAAGAAATCGGCCCCCTTGAAGTCTGCTATAGGCGTGATCATCCAGGACCGAGCACAGCAGATGGAACGCTGGGTGCAGCACTACTCTGAGCTATATTCTAGAGAGAATGTAGTAACTGAAGAGGCATTAAATAACATTGAGTGCCTGCCTGTCTTGGAAGAGCTGGACGGTGAACCAACTTTAGCAGAAATAAAAGCGGCCTTGGATTCCCTTGCCTCCTGCAAGGCACCTGGAAAGGACAACAACCCCACTGAAGTTTTGAAGTGCTGTAAAGATATCATCACCACTGAGCTGTATGAAGTCTTTTGTCTTTGCTGGAGAGAAGGTGGAGTACCACAGGACATGAAGGACGCAAACATCATCACATTGTATAAGAACAAAGGCGACAGGAGCGACTGCAATAACTACCATGGTATCTCTCTTCTCAGCGTTGTAGGGAAG